AACACCGCTTGCATTCAATCTTAAAAATGTTCGTTTTGGTTTAAATTATTTCTTTCCTGTTAGCCATTTTTCCTGTGTAAATAACAGTCAAAATAACAGTAACATGCCATCAACGTAAAATGCAGCCACCACTCCTGTCGTCATTATTATTGGTGATCCGCAGCATTTGCGGATCACCTCCTGTTATTGTCAGAGATCTTTTTTTTTATTCTACTTTCTGGCAATTATTGTTCGCACGATATCTCAAAATTGCTACGAGTTACGCACAAGGTCGCTTCATCAATCATTTTGGCTCCGCCTAGAATAGACATAGTAAGGTTTTCAAGGTGACCAGTCATGCGTGACGTCAGCTACGCGCAATTTTGCGTTCTTACATTATCGATCATATCAGCCTAACCAATTGCCATTTCGAAATGTCAATGTTGAATGTAATGTACCCTAATTTTACGTCCTCAGTGACGAGTTCAAATCTAGTTTTTTTTTATCATTACTAAAACAACAATAATAATTATTATTATTATTAACATTAAACTATATTATTATGATTCCAGGTTTGTGGATATAAATCTGGAGGACGATGATGAATTTGGAAATGATATTGCATCCAGTATTAAGACTGAAAGCATTTATTCTATGGTAATTTCTATTTGAACTTATTTCTTATTTGTTTGTTGTTAAGCGCCTAGAGGTTATTAACATTAGGCGCTATATAAATATTTATTATTATTATTTCTCCTCTTCAGTGTATGTAGTATTCTGAGTATCTTAGATAGCCTTGGTTTTAACTAATTTTTATTGCATTTCCTCCCATGATAGTCACATGAAATGGGTTCATCTGTGGATGAGGCAGGACCATCAAATATTTCCAGTTCTGTCACTGAAAGGTTTGTAACTCCATTAAGGATGGTAGAAAAGTAGGAGAATAACACATAATTCGCAGCGTCATTGTGCTGAATTGCGTGTGGGCGTGGTCCCACCTAGCTGCCGCAAACAGTTGCTTAAAGTAACTACCTGTTCACATCATTACAAGGCAGATGTAATAGCTGTTATTTTGATTGCAAATTTTTATTGCAAATTGTGTTAATCTGATATTCTATCAACAATTGTAGTCTATATATTAGGTGTTCATAGTGTTAATAACTATTGTATTGCCTTACAATGTTGTCAAACACTTTTAGTGGTTCGAGTGAAAGATGGTACAATTACTGTAATTGCCATATGTCTTCTGTTTATCATTATTGTTAACAGATTACCTGACTCAGGTTTTAGTGGGACGACTGATGAAAATCAGTTCAGAGCGCCTCAAGATTCACAAGAAAATAAGTAAGTTAAAAAAAGAGAGAATATATTGAAAAATACAATTTTATGCTCCACACTTAATATGTACACAGTGTAAGTTTAACATTATAATTACTGTATTATTAACAGAACACCGGAATCAGCTATTCATCTGCAGCTACCAAACTCATCCTCAGTGACGAGTTCAAATCTAGTTTTTTTTATCATTACTAAAACAACAATAATTATTATTATTATTATTATCATTAAACTATATTATTATGATTCCAGGTTTGTGGATATAAATCTGGAGGACGATGATGAATTTGGAAATGATATTGCATCCAGTATTAAGACTGAAAGCTTTTATTCTACGGTAATTTCTATTTGAACTTATTTCTTATTTGTTTGTTGTTAAGCGCCTAGAGGTTATTAACATTAGGCGCTATATAGATATTATTATTATTATTTCTCCTCTTCAGTGTATGTAGTATTCTGAGTATCTTAGATAGCCTTGGTTTTAACTAATTTTTATTGCATTTCCTCCCATGATAGTCACATGAAATGGGTTCATCTGTGGATGAGGCAGGACCATCAAATATTTCCAGTTCTGTCACTGAAAGGTTTGTAACTCCATTAAGGATGGTAGAAAAGTAAGAGAATAACACATAATTCGCAGCGTCATTGTGCTGAATTGCGTATGGGCGTGGTCCCACCTAGCTGCCGTAAACAGTTGCTTAAAGTAACTACCTGTTCACATCATTACAAGGCAGATGTAATAGCTGTTATTTT